AGGAAATCTTGAGAATGTAACGATGCTGGTGTAAAATAACCCAAGCAAAGAAAGTAGTATGCCAACCAATGAGCAATAATAGCTTCTTGGGAAACAAGAAATCTTACATTAAAGGTCCAACAAATAAATTATGACTGTACATAAAAGTAAAGAAAGGATTGAATTTGAATTAGGCATAATAGGTAGATTTTTATCAACTGATCAAGTTTGACTCGGACCACAAAACGACTCGCTAGGCCATTTTTCGCATGGAAAAAAATCTAACAAAGAGTTTAAATGAAATATTCTGTTTACAATGGAATAACGGCTATGACACCATTTAAAAGTTTGCAGTAGCGATCAGGGAAGGACACTGTATCATGAACATAAGTATTTGATTGGAACAAAGTATTTAGTGAAGGTCGTGAAATCATCGAAAACTAAAAATTAATCGGAGGCTAATATAAACTGTATACGTATTTAATTTATTATATGTATATGCGTTAGATATTTGGTATAGCTTCCCCTCTCATTTAAGCCGACCCCAAACCATTTGTGTGAAAACTTTTGTATAGCAGAAATATATTCGCTCCATTTCTAGTCGAGTTATATGGTGCAAAGGCATGGACGATGACAACGTCTGATGAGTCGTTACGAGTTTTCGAGAGGAAGGTTCTGTGGAAGATTTGTGGTTCTTTGCGCATTGGCAACGGCGAGTACCGCATACGAGGGAATGATGAGCTGTACGAGTTATACGACAACATTGACGTACTCTAGCTCTGAAGGTATTCGACGTACCCGGCGGAGGAAACATAGAAAAAGAAAGACCTCCACTCCGTTGGAAGAATCAGGTGGAGAAGGACTTGGCTACGCTTCAATTTCAACAGAGAAAGAGAAAGACCTCCACCCCGATGGAAAGATCAGGTGGAGAAGGACCTGGCTACACTTCAATTGGAGCCAAACAGCGGTTCCTAAAGCAATAAAAATGAAGAAGAGGTGTTTTATTAGATAAAATGAGATTTGGTTCTTTAACACTGTAGTATATTTTTTTGGAGTCGAAAAAACCATTGAAAATAAAAAATAGGTTTCATGTGGATAGGAGTGGTTATCTCTGTTAATTTTGGAGACCTTAATTTAATGTGCGATATAAAATCGAACTTTGTCTTATGCGAGAAAAATGCCGAAGATATTTTCATAATAACAACATCCTCACATAATTTAATATTCTTGGTGTCCAATATTATGTTGTATTTTTGTATTATCAGATAATTTAAAGGTTTTTGTCCGCTGGGCAATTGTTTACTTATGCTCTAATATTGTATAGCATACAGCATGCCGGCTTATGTACTTGCACAAGACTTAATGTGGCTTGTATATACTTATACCTAATGGAGGTTGCTTCAGCTTTTGTATTTTAGCGGCAATATCCTATGAAGGATTGCATGCTACACATATGCATACATATACATATATGTATATATACATACATGTCGTGCGCGCTTTATAGTAAGAGCACAAACGAATATTCAAAGTTACATTGGGATCAAATTCTCGCAAATAAAATCAGTTGACTGAATCCATAAACAATGTAGGTTTGTATTTGCTTAAATTAAAATGTGCATTAATAACAAAATTTATGCCGAGCCACGAACTTATTCTCAAAAAAGTCATTAGCGTTGCAGAGATAATATATTTTTAGGACATGCCAATCAAAAATATTATTAGAAAACCGTTCATTTTAATTATCAGTATACGAAAACAGTCATAACTAAAATGACCAAAATAACTTGGTTGAAATAACTAGTGTAATAGGGTATATTAAGTTTGCCAAGAAGTTTCCTACACATAGAAGACCCTATGAGGTACTATATACATACTACATATATCTACATATGTATATCTACAGCGTGCCGAGCTGAGTCGATTTAGTCGTGTTGAGCTATCGGTCTGATACTTTGCACAAATCTCCGCAAGACTTCGAACATTTATCAGAATCGTCGATATTGAAAACTATAGGTGCCAAAAAAACCACCTGCAGCATATACATAGCTATAAAAACTAACCGATCAAAATGAAAATAAATCCCTTTTTATATCCTTTTATGCTATAAGAAATGTACAGATGAAGGGTATTATAGCTCGCTGCAACCGAATTGAGCATTATTCTTATCTTCTTATATGTAATGTTGTTGTTATTTTTACCCGAAATGTTGGCGTTTAATTGCCCACCCCAAAATAAGCACAAAATTAATCGATTTAATTGAAGTGTCGGGGATGCTGAGAAAGGTCTATGAGTTTATATGAATACATATGTATAAGTATATATATTATATGTATATACATACATATATGCACGTTAAGCATTCGTATGGACTTATATTGAATATTATGTGTGTGGATGATAAAATAAAAATTGTCAGTCAATATTCTCCATAGAAATTTCATGGTTGCGAGCAATGATGCCACAAAATGTGAGCAACAAAAACGTCAAACAAATATGTCGGTAATTCATACATTATATGCTTACACTTGATTTGCTAATCCATCAAGTGCTGCCTAATTGAGGCATACAAAGATGACTCTTTCTTCATTGTAGAAATATAAACTAAAAAACGAAAAATAAACTAAAGGAGTGAGTAACAGTAATTATGTATGAGAAGTAAATTGAAATACATAGATGAAATTTGTATAATCGAAGAGTCGATTTAGTCTTATATGCATGTCTGCAGCATATAAACATACATAACTTTCATGCAAACTGATCGATCAAAATTAAGATACAGATTTTTGTATAACCTTTCAAATTTAATCTCTGCTATAAAAATTGCTCTTTTAAGAGTATTATAGCTACGTTGCAGCCGAAGTTAGCTTATTTCATCATTGTTTCTTATGAGACATGACCCCACAAGTGTATGTATAATCTCTGCATTCTTGACATCAACAAAAATGTAATTAAGATATAACAGTAAATTTAATGTCTTGTTAAAAAGCTATTACAATTTAACTAAAGTATAACATATTTATGTTTACTGTTATTAACTGCCTATCATGTTTAAGGTTTTGTTTTTAATAAACCTGAAGTCATATTTATGAATGAGCAGCCGTTGTCAAGAACATTTGCATGTTTTTAGTTATTTTTTTCTGCGCATTATTATTTGTAATATTCCATAGTAAAGTCCGCTTTTATACAAAAAGGGGTATATTTAAGTGGTTTGACATTCAAGAGAGAAATAATTGGACACTACTTTGTCGTCATGCATTATTCATCTAACATGCCCACCTACCTGATTTTGTTGTTGTTATTGCTGAACAATAGGGCTGGTGGTCTTCATTATTCTTGTTTATTTTCCCACTTTCAGAAGGACATCTTGAGCAACACTAACAAGGAGATTACATTTCCAGTATGTATATAATATGTGTGCAATGGTCTCCATGTTAAACAAGTAGATAGTGCAAATAGTCATTCTAATTGGTCCATTGTAAACAAAAAAAGTATCTGTGGCGCGGCAAAGTACTCCTTTATGCAACCAGAATAAAAAAATGGCGATGGCAAATATTGATTATGATTTTTTGATGAAATTTCTTGCACTCGGAGATTCTGGAGTGGGCAAAACAAGTTTTCTTTATCAGTATACTGATGGGCAATTTCATTCGCAATTTATATCAACGGTGGGAATTGATTTCCGGGAGAAACGACTGGTGAGTACTTGAAATTTCAGTGCTTTATTTTGTTTGATTTCATTGAATATTTCAAGTTTAACTAACACTTATTTGAAATTTCAATAATTAATTGCATAAAAAACACTAAGAACTTTTAATTTTTCACAATAAAATATGTTTCACTCACTTAACACTGAATAGTTTAAGAATAGCAGAATAAAATTTAATTTCAAACTGTCAAATACGTAAATAAATGATTTGCAGGGTGACTCAGATAATTCGGTTTATGAATGAGTACTAGCGTGAATACTCGAATCAATTAAACTGTGTGTATATATATACATAAATATATAAAACAATACATACATATATAAATGTGTATGTATAATTATAATTCGAATCCTTATTAATTTTTTATTTTATTTTATTTGCTCAYATTTTAAAACTTTGCTTTAAACGATTAACAAATTTAAATATATGTATTTTATATTTTCATTTATATAATGTCTCTTTAGATATACACATATCGCGGACGGAACCACCGTATCCATCTACAACTCTGGGATACTGCAGGTCAGGAGCGCTTTCGTTCGTTAACTACTGCCTTCTATCGTGATGCAATGGGTTTCCTGCTCATTTTCGATTTGACCAACGAGAAATCTTTCCTTGAAATTAGTAATTGGTTGGAGCAATTACGTATGCATGCTTATTCGGAGGATCCGGATGTGGTCTTATGCGGTAATAAATGCGATTTGGAGACCGTGCGTGCTGTCAGTCATGAACAAGTGCGTGCCCTTTCGGATCGCTATTGTCTGCCATACATAGAGACAAGCGCATGCACTGGCTTTAATATAAGACAAGCCGTTGAAATGTTGGTGGAACGTGTTATGTTGCGTATGGAGAATGTAGCTACCAATTCCGAATTGTCACGATTAATGACGCAGACGCGTTGCATGCCAAATATAAATCTCCCGAGTAGTGGTGGGAATACAGTGCGTTTGGGTTTAGGGGATATGGAGTTGACGGAGGAACAACAACGGAGTCGAAATTGTAAATGTTAAATGATGAAATGCCAGTACATAGGTCATTCTATTTTAACTCAAAGCTGTTTTGTACAATAATTTTAATAAATGTGTATTTAAATGTGTGAATTTGTGAAATTAATAAATTAAATAGTTATGCCAATTTTATTAAAAACTAACATGTTATATACAAATTAACTGCTCAATTAATGTAATGTTCGCTCAAATGTATAGTACACTAGTAATTGTAAACAAATTTGTTTGTAAAGATTTTAAAAAATATATATTTACATACATATACATATAATATATAAATAATTCTATGAAAATATAAAATCCTACTTATGTATTTACATAAATAAAGTCGTTTATTGTTAGCATTAAAATAAATAACCCATAGCCAATGTAAAACCTAATGATATGAAACCAAATTTAAGTCCCACTGGTGCTGAAGAATTGCGGCTTTCAATCCAATTGCGATAGTAGCTAACATTCGTGTAAATACCAGGGTAACCGGGTTGCGCACAACTATTGCCCCATGACACAATACCGACCAGTTCGTCGTTACAAACCAGCGGGCCACCGGAGTCCCCTTGACACGAGTCGGTGCCACCCGTTAAGTAACCGGCGCATAACATGCCTTCAACAAGACCACTTCCATATGAGACCCTACAAATGCTTTGTTGTATAATGCTTACATTAGCCATCAGCAATTCGGTTGATAGCACACTCTATGCAGAAATAATTATAAAAAAGTTTAGGTGATGTATTTTCCATTTAATATATTTATTACATACCGTTTTAGTTTTACCCCAACCAGACACCTGACATTGACTGCCCGCCGCAATTGAGGAATTACTCAATACAATCGGTGATATAGTCAAATGTGTTTTATTTGCTGGTAATCCTGTCTTTAAGAACATCACACCAACATCATCACGCATTGTATCCAAACTAAAGGAGTTCGTATAAGCAATCGAACTGACAGCCGAAACAATTGTACCATTGACTTGTTTAAAACGATTTTGTGTGCCCATTACAACCATAAATTCGCTTGCCTTCCGATAACGCTTTTTATCTGAGCTGTAATTAGTTAAATTTTTTTTTAATATACAAACGAGTACAATGGCACTTATTTTAGATGAATCTATGTTTGAATTTAAGTTTCTAAACATACTAGAATTTCCTTAAAGCAATGAAATTATTTTTTTTCTTTTTTATATTCAATTTTGTTTTGTTAAGATGTAAATTACTTACTTATATAAACAATGTGCTGCCGTTACAACTTTGTTTGGCCCAATTAATGAACCGCCACAGATATGTCCATTTCCGAATATCCGATCATGTGTCTTGAGCCGTATAGATACTTGAAATTTTGTTCTCGATACAGGTGCCTCTACGCCATTTATGATACGTGGATCCAATTTCGAATCACTCTGTGAGTAAGCTAAGAAAATATTATAAAGTTTTGGTACTTTTCAGAATTTAACAGTTATAAGACAAACTTTGTAGAAGCTTAGTTGTGTTTCCAAAATTTTTTATGCGTCATTCGTTAGCGGTTTATTTAAACAAATTTAAGATCACTATGCTTTTATTAATATAGAAAATTTTCCGTTAATGCAGTTCATTTAATCGCATATCTTCTTATATTATATAATACATATATTTTTTACAGTGAATCAACACTTCCGATATCAGTATTCGCGTCCGACATTGAAAAATGATAAATTTCGTGATCGCCATAATTTTCAATGACAGTCGCTACTCATAACAAATATATAGTTATATTGGAAAATATTATGAATCATTTTGACGTCATTTTTATTAACAATTCAAATAAATGGGCAGGTATATTTCTAGTGATCCTCAGAACTCAAGTGCGTCAACCAAAGTATGCAAACATGAAATCTGCGATGCATGCAGCAAATTCTAAATTGAATCTTTCTGGGCCTTTGCTGCCAATAAGCATGCACGATGCCACAACAGGTTGTTCAGTTTGATAAAAATCCAATAACAGCGTTGAATCACACGTTACGCAATCGTACATAAACAGAATATATTCATTTGGTATAAAAAATTCAAATCAAGATATTTGCTGCTGTTGATAAGATAGTACGTTCAATAACGTGTTTCAAAAGCTTTCAGCTATTGATTATTCGTCATATAATATTGCAATCGTGAGTACTTTTTATACCCTGAACGGGGCATACGGACACGAAGTTTATAGCACACAGAGAGAAAAGTCGGAGAACCTATAGGCGAACTAGCTCCACAGTTTTTGAGACATCAATCTGAAATTTCGCACATGGCCTTTCATCACCAAGAAGCTGCTGATCTGTGGGAATAATCGATATCGGACAACTGTAGCATATAACTGCTTTATACACTGGCCGTTCAAATTGAAGACCTTGTATAGAAACTTTTATTTATTTGCCAAGATGTATTCACGAAATTTGGCAAGAATTATTATATAAGGGAACTTTGCAATCTTCAAACATTTGTTTTAGGTTGGACCACTATAACGTAATAGCTACCATAATAGCTACCATACAAACTGATCGTTCAATATCCAGTACTTGTATGGAAAATTTTTTTTATTTGTGAAGGGTATTGTAGCTGCAGTGCAGAAATAGTTAATTTTTTAATATATTTTTTCAATATATTGTGATTTAAAGCACTGGAATCAAAATCTTATGATATCACTTTCTCTTTATACAACATATACTCAGAATATATATTTTTTATTCTTCTTTTTAAACAGGTGTAACGGTGTTTATTTTAAATTTTTTTCGAATTGGTATATAGCATGTATGTACGTTAGCACCACTGACTGTTTGTATTATCTACAAACATCAACTTCCTCTACAATTATTAATGCATTTCAGAACACAATTTATAACACATTGTTCACTTTTTATAAAATTAAAGGGTTTCTTACATTTTTCAAAACCAATCACCAACACAAATAAAAATAAACTACGGAGTTGCATTATTATAAATATAAAAAATCACTAAGTAACTTCCGAATATGCGAAAAACCAATTATCCAGTGGTTGTGAATATAACCACGCGAGGTCCAAATTCTGTATGAGCCACAATTGTCAATAATTTTTCACATTTTTACCAATAGCGGTAAATTATCAAAAAAAAAAAGAAGAACAAAACAACAATATTCTATTATCAGTAACAGGCAAGTTCAGGATAAGAGTTGTGATAACAATTCAACAATATTCATGAATATATAGTCAGCTTGCTGATTCACTTACAACAAAAACATTGTATAATTCAACTACTAACAATATTTCATTTAAATATTGTGCTATTTATCTAAGTATGCCCAAACGTGTACAATAAATTACGGAAGGCCAAAAATCACTGCTCCATATGTTATCAGTTTGACAATTAATGACATTACGTCATATATGTATTTATGTAGAAGTGAAGAAATTAGTTGAACATAAATTTATATCTTAAAGCAATAAATTATATAAAGATGTATGAATGTATAGCATATGAGTGCGCATATAAGGGATTACGTTGTTATTATTGTTGACTAAACGATTTTTTGATTTTTTTCTGAAAACAGAAAATATTAAAAAAATATTTTATCAAAAAGTGTCTTTATTAAAAAATAATTGGTGTTAATATACGAGCTTACAATAACGTTTCATTGCCGCATTGCACTATTTTCAAATAGTATAGTATAGTATAGTTATCTCTTACTTGACATAGTCTGTTTTACGAGTAGATATGTATATGTTTGCATAAATTTGGACGGATGGTTAATTACCTGTCTCTTATACACATCTAGATGTGTATAAGAGACAGGTATAGTATAGTATAGTTATCTCTTACTTGACATAGTCTGTTTTACGAGTAGATATGTATATGTTTGCATAAATTTGGACGGATGGTTAATTACAATGTAATAGTTGTTTTGTAAATATTCGAGGTACAAATATAAAATATATAGATAAGTATGTTTGTATAAAATTTTTTCAAGTCATTAGCTAAATACAATTCAATTCAACTATAAAATTAAGGCACTTCTTTGCTTAAGAATGTCGGTAACGATATTATTAGAATATATATCGAATTGTGGTTGAACGAACGCTGGCGCACGATGTGTTCAGTGCACATAAAGTTATGCTATATAATGCTAGAGAAGTAATCGTTTTCAATTTGTGAATACGCACTTAAAACTAGTTGAAATCGCAAAATGGACAAAACTGTATAAATTTTTCAGAATACTCTCCCCAATATCAAATACTTCATAAATGTAATATTTAAATTGTTAAAAAGTGTTTCGTTTGTTTTTTATATGTATCCATGTAGACTACGTGAGGTACTATGATGATGTCTGGGCGGTTGATAGCCAGGCTCCTGCATTTCCATTTGCATGACTAAATTTTTCTGTTCACCGCGTAAATCGTATGCATAACGGGCTTCGCGATGCAAAATCATTGCACCCAAACCAAGTGTAATAAAGGACACAACAGCGACTGCATAAGACCAGCCAAGCACATTGAACTTCGGATACATAAGCCAGTCACGACGGTAGGCACAGCCACCAAAAATGCATACAGCCAGAAATAGTAGTAGTGCTGTCAAAGATTTTAACACCAAGACAATTAATTATAGGTGCACAAGAAAGGCAGTTACTTACAAGCGGCCGCTGTACAAAGATAGGAAATTCTAATCATCAACCATTCATATTGCAGCACACCCTTCAAAGGCAGACGTATAACAATTAGTGCCAGCACGCCTAATGATAGGAATGTTAAAAGAAAAGCCAAAGTAACACAAGCCTGTACAGCCATTAACCAACCAGGTAGCAGATACTCTCTAATAACATAGTATTCCTGAAAATATTATTTGAATTTAATTATTTTGAGGCTAAGAAATAGACTGTATAACTGCTCACATGACTGAAAATATTATGACATCCATTGAATTGACGTGGAAATTGGTAATATGGGTATACGAAGTTCCTAAAACAATATTCCCATAAGCCCATATTTTTGAAGCTGCTATGCGTTTCCTCATACGACTCAATCCAGTACGGTGAACAGAATGCCATCATCAGAAAGAAATAAGCCACAAATGTGACCACTCCGCCAAGAACTACACCATCTAAAACGAATTACATTTAAAATTTTGTTTTATAATGTTTACAAATGAATTGGTGAATCAGTATTTGGGGCTGCGACTGCTTTAATTGATCAGCAAGCTCGCAGCTCTTGTTGGCACTCACTTGATGCACGCGGGTAATCGCCTTTTTCAATGCTGGTGTCTGTCGTGTCTTGCGACTGCTGCTTTGCAAAGTTGCGCATTTTTTTGGGTATATAACTTATTTATTTTCGTTAAAACACTCTTTTGTTTAACAACAATTAGAAAATGCACAATCGTAAACTACACAAAAACTATTGTCAACACACAAACACACACACAAGAAAACACCGCCCTGATAAAGGTGTGGACATAATGACGTTGGTAGACGTCAAATGAAATGTCAATTGGAAGTAAACAGTTTGGCAGCCGCTGTAGTGAGAACAAACTGTTGCGCTGCCCTTAAAAACATTTTAATTTCTAAATTTTTTGTAAACACTACAAAATTATATTGTACTCACTTATTTGAAAATATAGTGTTATATCATTATTGTATTAGAATCTTTAATAAAAAATCAATACTATAGTAGCTTTATTTTCATTTCGGTATAAACAAGATGTTGAAACTTAAATAAATTTAGGTTTCTGGGTTTTAGTTATTAATTTGTTTAATGATGAGTTGCAAGTAATAAATTAAAAAATCATTAAATTAAAATTTAACTTAAACTAAAAAAAAAATTATTAAGAATAATTTAATTAAATTTGGAATTTATTTTATTCTTAATATAGCAATTCGGAAAATATTAAATTATAAAATATAATTTATATAAATATTATATGAATAAATTTTTCTGTTTCTCTTCCCAAATACCCGCTTAAAAACTTAAAATTTATTTATTTAAATTTATTTATCAAAAACATCGGATTAAAATCAAATAAAACCTCAAGAAATATGTTATAAAAAATAAATTGATTTTGAATTTATTTTCTCTGCTTTGCGTACTTAGTGTTTTATTATTTTTTGAATTAAAAATTTGGTTTCAACAAATTTAATTTTCAATTTAAAAAATAAAAAAAAAACATTGAATTAAAATCGGAATTGAAAATAATCTTTGTTTTCAAATTTTTTCAATAAAGAACTCATAAATCTTTTGAAATTGACATTTTTATTAATCGAAAATTTAGTTTTCTAATTTGAAATTTACTTTTTTTTAATTATTAGAAAAATTTGTTTTTTAATTTTAAATTGAAAATGTTTTTAATTGAAAATTTTATTTTTAATCCCAAAATCACAATTAAAAATGAAATTTTAAAATTACTATTTMAAAGAAAAGTTTTTAAAAATATATTCAATTGAAATCGGAGTTAAAAATTATTTTTGTTTTAAATTTTTTAATTAAAGAACTCATATCTCTTTCAAAATTTTAAATTGAAAATTTTTATTTAAATTTTAAATTTAATTTTTAATCCTAAAAAAAATTAAAAAATTTAATTTTTATAAATGAAACATTTAATATTTTTTAATTAATTAAAAACTTAATTTTTAATTCCATATATCTTAATTACAATCAGAATTAAAAATTGAAAAATTAATATTTTTCCCCAATTTTTTAATTGAAAAAATCATAGCACTGGTTTAATGCTTCTAAATTTTTTTGTATTTATTTAAAAATTTTTTACTCTTAATAGATTATTACACATACCACAAATTTCAAATAGTTAACTAATCTCGTTGAATTTATAAAAAAATCATGTCAGCTATTCACACCTTCACTTCTTAGCTTCTTTCGACGTGAATATATTATCCATTTCGTCTACATGCTGATGCTCCAGATGCTTCATATAAGCCAGGAAACATGTCCATAACAAACTACAAACACTGATGAAAGGCACTCGATTCTTTTCTGGTACGACGGAGAAATTTATTATGCCAACAACGGGCCAAATTGACATAGCCACCTTTGAAAACACACGTATTTCATGTAATCTTGTGATAAAAGTCATAATTTTTCTCACCTTATAAGTGGGTATGAATTTCTTGCGCACCTCCGCGGCCGCTTCGCCCACGGTCTTCATTTCCAACAGGCTCATTAAGAAATAAAAGCATGTCATGGCAGCTGGTGTGTAGGAAATCTGTTCGACGGCTGTTTTGAAAACCGCCGTGCGCAGTGATGTTCGCGGCCACATGGCGCTGGAAACCTTAATCCAACTGTAAAGCGTGGGCGCTACGAAAAACCCGCCATATAAACTGAAACGTAACGCACGCCACCAATCGTAGTCCGCTAGTGGAAAAATTAAAATTAATTAAAATTTAAATTTCTTAAACTAAAATTTTAGATTTTGAAAACAAAATTATTTAAAATTCCATTAAAWTATTAACAAAAATGTTAATTGATTAAAAAATAAATAAAAAAAATTAAGTTTTCGAAATAAAAAATGTAAACTAAAGATTATTAACAGATCATGTTAAAAAGGTAATTACGCCATCTTCTTCCTTCGAAGGTCTGTTGTATAAGTGAACTTGTCGGCCAAATTAGGCTATATGAAACCATACCCCGTGTAACGGGATAACGCTGTAGCATCGTCTTAAAATGTTGTAAAATGGCAGCCATTTTTATGTTGATTGTTTAATAACACAGATTATTTATTGTTTAATACTCAGTTTATAATTAACTTTCACTTTAAACATTATTTAATAAGAGTTGTTAAGTTTTTGTTTTATTCATATCATCATTCGAAGTTATTAATATATTTTTAAGTATATTTTTCTAATTTACCTATATGAGTATCATGTATTTAACTATTATAAATTATACTGAAAAATACAGAAATTAAAAAATTTGGTTATATTGGAAATATTTTAGAATTTATTCGTAATTTTATCTTTTTTATTGCTTGAATAGTCATGTGGCTCCATAGGCAACCTCAAGTGAGTCGTGTGATGTTCCCTTGAGTCATATTTTACGGTTTGCAAATATGGCGGTAAGCTGGTTTGAGCGAGGATTTTCATCTATCCGACGATCGTATCGCAACGATCCTAGGTACGAGCCGGAAAGCTACGCCATTCATAACCAAATGCAACAACGAAGATTTTTTGGTTTGAACATAGAAAGGGGTTGAAAGTATGCATAATGCTAAAGTGATGATATTCTAATACAATTACCTTAAAATCTTTGATCTTTATTTCTTTCTTCCCAAGGAATTACGCATTTGGCGGAACCGTTGATATCGGCCCACTATAGAATATAAGTGCCATAGAAACACACTGATGGAAAAAAATCAAGCTTTTGTATAGAAAACTTTTTTATTTGTTAATATATCTTCACAAAATTTGACAAAGATTGCCCAAGATAAAACTATAAACTTCGAACATATTATTCTGATCGGACCTTTACACCATATCGTTGCCATACACACTGGTTTCAAGATAGACGAAATTATCTACAACTTTGAAATTATGACTGTCAACCGAGACGCGGGCGATAAGTCACGAGTACGACGACTGTTTGTTTGTTAACAGGAGATATTTCGTCTTGTCCTCGTTCACTACCAGACGCATTAGCTTCGCTTCCTTGTCTGGAGAAAGCAGAACTAATGGGGAAGATGTTGATGTCAATGGTATCATACGTCAACATGTGTACACTCTTATAAAAGATTGTGCCTTCTCGATTCAGTTCGGTAGCTCGAATTATTTATCCAGCTGTATATTGGCAGTCACTATAAGGAGACAGTTCGTCTGAAACCTATCGAACGGTTCGGATAGGTCCTTCTCGATCCTGACGGAGATTTTGGTATTTCTCAACAGACATCACGGCTTAAAGGCAGCTAATTTTCATCCAGTCAAAGGCAGCTTTAAAATCGACAAAGTAGTGATGTGTGTTGATATTCTTTTCACGGGGCTTTTTCAGAATGTGGCACATGGTAAATATCTGGTCAGTTGTTAATTTTCCAGACCTAAAGTCCCATTGATAAGGTCCAATCAGTTTGTTAACGATGAGCTTTAATCTTTCACATTAATTGGGCAGAGCACACCTAAATTCCAATCGTTGTGCATGCTTTCGTCCGACCATATTCTACAAAGAAGCTGACGCATTCTCCTCCTTAGTTCTTTGCCTTTGAATTACTCGGTTGGCAATCCATCGGCCCCGCCGGTTTGTTGTTCTTCAGGCGGGTAATTGCTATTCGAACTTCTTCATGGTCGTGCAATGGAACGTTCGCTCTATCGTCATCGGTTAGGGAATGAGGTTCAGCATTTCCTGGTGATATACTTTCACTGCCATTCAGCAGGCTGGAGAAGTTTTCTCCCCATAATTTTAGTGTGCTCTGGGCATTAGTCACCAGATCACTTCTTAAGGTTCTACTACAGCATACAGAATGAACAATATGAAGTCCTTGTATGGAATTTTTTTTTATTTGACAAATTAGTCATTCAGTTTTTGAAATATTTGATTTGAATTTTTTCACACTCCCTTCCCTTCTCAATGTCTGGGAACCGCCGATATCTGACCATACAAACTGATTGCTCAACGTCCTGTTCCCAAACCAGTCGGGTCTACGTAAATAAAATAGACCCGGATTTTCTTCCGGCCAAGGACTGTCAACTCGGCAGAATTTCACTGCAACAACAACAACATTGATCAACGCAATTTTTCTTGTTTTGGAGTTGACAGCAAAATACATTGACGTCATAAAGGAAATGAGGCGAGAACTTTGTTGACAACTTTGCCAGTTCGTTTCGTGAACATTTACAACTACAAACGGGGTAAAGGTAAAATAACGAATAATTCTAAACTTTTATAAAGGCGTGGCGTAACCTTTATACATTTTTTGGTTTTGATGCTTTTGCAAGAAGGTTACGAGTGCTACTATATACAGGTGGAATTCTTGAATATTTATTTAAGTTAAATTAAAGGGGTAATTAAAAATATTTATATTTTGTTCATTAGGTACACACATATAAAAATATGAGGGTGGGACTCCTTGCTTTGAATTTATTTGCACAACTGTATATTTTAATTAATTTTTCCACACTGAATTTGCATTTGATAACCTTTTGTTAAACTGCAACAATATATGTATGTAAGTACTTCATTTATTTCCGCATGATTATTGCTTTGTGCTCAAAATGATGGCCTTGATTTTGAAAAAGTGCAAGCGCAGTTTTAAACACAGACATACAAATGCATATAAAACTGTGGCTACTATATAACTATAAAAGCTCATACATATTCTTCTAATTCTTTTATTTGTTTTTAAATGCATAAGTAAGTATGTATATACGCGAGTATTTGCGAACCTTTTTGTTTTTCTACCAAATACACCCACTTACCACATAAGGCTGCACACACATACATACATATGTAGACACAAATTCACTGGAAGTCGGTTTTCCACTCTACAGAAATGTGCATTTGCGAGGCACAAACTAAAATGGTACACACATACATACATACATATACATATGTATATGTATAGATTTTCTTATCACTTTTCCATGCAATTGAGGCAAAGGTCGCGTATACGCAACTCCGCCCCATGTTGCCGCAATTAACCTAAATTCGCAGCTATGCAACTCGACCGTCAATTTTTTTGTTGCAATATAAACACGTTCTCAGCGCAAACCTCGATACATTCAGTGCGCAGTCATAACTCACACGCGCCAAACAAACATGGCTCAAAGCAATGGATTTGCACGGCTGTTTTTGTTTTACAGTTTAAGCCTACTTTGCCTAGTTTTCAAGTGCAATGCATTTTATCCGAGAATCGTAAATGGCACACAGGCTAATGAGGGCGAGTTTCCTTTTGTGGTGAGTAAATAAAAATGTGAAAGAAGGGTGTCTTTTATCTAAAAGTTTGAAGTCGAAAAGTTCGCGGCAGTTTTAAGTTCACAACTGACAGTTCTTATTCTCGTTCGGTAAAGGTATCGCTGCGCCGTGCCTCCGATGGGCGTCACAAGTGTGGCGCTTCGCTGTTGAATCGCGTTTGGGTGCTTACCGCGGCGCACTGTGTGGTCAAAACGCAACCCGAGCAACTGAGCATACAATATGGTGGCAATGAATTGGTTGCGAACAGCAGCAAAGTGTCGAATGTCAGTAAGATAATAGTGCATGAAAATTATGAACCGGGAAATTTGCATCTTAACGATATTGCGTTGTTGCGCCTGCAGACGCCACTCAAGTTTGGTGCAAAAGTGCGCGCAGTGCACCTGCCGGCAGCGCAACAGGATACCGCCGAAGCTATGCCCGCAGTGTTGCTTGGTTGGGGACTGAACGCGGTGAGTGTAAAGAAATTTGAAATTTCCCCATTTATCTCACTTAAATGTCGTTCATTAATTTCTTTCAGACCGGTGGCGTCATACAAAAACAACTGCAAAAGGTGCACCTACAAATATTTAGCGATGAAGAGTGTAGTCAACGGCATGGCACACAATTGCACCCGACAACCATCTGTGCTGGTGTGCCGGAAGGTGGTCGTGGGCAGTGCAGTGGCGATTCGGGCGGACCGTTGCTAGTGAATGGTCAACAGGTGGGCATTGTTTCGTGGAGTCGCAAACCTTGCACTGTGGCACCATATCCCGGTGTATTTACGGAGGTTTCCGCCTATGTCGATTGGTTGCAGCAGATGATCGGCAATGATCGTGACGATGGTGATTGGGGTGAGAGCGAAGAGTCGTGGGAAGAATTGACAACGGGAAATCTCATTATAGTGCGTAGTAAAAAGGGTATGGCCAGCTTATTGGCTAAACATAATAAGGAATAATAAATAAAAAAATTTTTTAATTAAAAAATTATTTTGTTTTCCTTTGGATTGAGGTTAGAGATAGCGGAATGCGGATGATGATCACACTATTCCCCCTTTTTCACGTTTTAAAGCGATTTTTCCAGTAAGCATCTCGGTCCACGTAAACTTTGCTGACTCCATTGAAAACTTTAGTCTCCCATCCACCTCTGTTTATCACGATTATATCGAAAAAGTTTAAGAGATTAATTTAAGTGCATTAAAATCGTTTTTTTGTCATTAGTGGGACATATTTTGGTTAACGTTTTGGGTATGAAGTCTACCAGTGTTAGACTTGTATCAAAAGACCTGAATTTTGAATTTGTCGAATAGTGGTCACAAAAAAATGCTTTATAATACAGATAATAACCCTATATGACGTGTTGTGAGTTTTGAAAAATGACGTTGCAACTGTCCAACAATCTAAAAATTAGCCAAAACCGAAAAAAACATAATTCGCTGAAGGAATTGAAGGCCATCCCAGCCGAGGCTTACATCAAGCGTATGGAAATTTTGATTAACCGTTGGCATTGTTTTACTAACTCAAAAGAAAACTATTGGGTTTGTCAGTCAGGTTCAAATTTGATCTATTCCCGTGGATCCGCCCCTGACTCTTGAAATGAGTCTGGCCTTCTCCTTGAACGAAACCCAAAATAATTTTCAACTAAAAGATTTGTCCCTACAATATTTGTGGTAAAAAAATGTAGTTTGTCATTTAAAGAATACCGAAATTTTGGTCTTGCCAAAATTCGACCATATATGCAAAACATACAGATATACTTGATAGTGATCAGATCATTTATCTCCGGGACCCGGGTCAATCACTCAGATAAATTTGAAAATTATAATTTTGAGAAAAAACGCCTTTAAAGATAAACTGATGGAGGCGACTCAACAGAGCGACTATACTTTTGAAGACCGCAATACAAAATTTGTTTGAGATATCGACTTGAAATCTTAGTATTTTATTTTTAAAGGTATAAACTACCGAAATATGAAAGACTTATATTTGTTTTTTACTTTTACATTATATATGTGCGCTTTAATATTAGAAAACACACTATATTTTTCTGATTTTAATATATTGTTTTTTTTTTCAAAACTATCATTAAAGGTCTCATTACGCCATCGTGGTAGCCTACAACATTTTTGTGCTGGAACGCTCATACATCCGCAATTTATATTGACAGCAGCTCACTGTTTAATGTACACAAAGCAGCCCAAAGAAGTGATCATACAATATGGTTCCAATCAACTAAAACCCGCTAAAGCGAAATTAATGAATGTCAGTGAAATAATACGACATGAGGGATACAGTCACACCATAGCAATACACGATTTGGCGTTGCTGAAGTTGGAAAGCGCGATCATGTTTAATGACTTCAATCTAGTAACATCGGCTGAGGGAAACCAATGCTACGAAGCTTTCAAAACGAAGACGCCGGTATTGCTTATCGGTTGGGGTCTAAATGCGGTTGGTTTAGAAACAAATAAGTGTAGTAACTTAATTTACACATCATATTTTCGCTTATTTTCAGACGCACGGCACGTTGCAGCAGCAATTGCAAAAGGTTGAACTAGATTTACTCTCACATGATAAATGCCGCAAGCGCACCCAATCACAGCTTTACAGCTCAAATATATGTGCTGTAGCAGCCGACGGCACGCAGCAGGGACAATGTAACGGTGACTCTGGTGGACCACTACTTCGGAATAAGCAACAAATTGGCATCGTTTCGTGGAGTCTAAAGCCTTGTGGCGCTTATCCTGGCGTGTTCACGAATGTCGCTTGTTATGAGCAGTGGATAAGGGATTATATTGGGTAGTCGAAAAAGTCTTTTAGTATTTTGTCATACGACAAAATAGTGTTGGGAAGGTAATATTGGGAAGGTAAGATTTTAAGCTTCATTTATCCAAATAAAAAAAATTGATTTGTTGTTTATTATTAGTAATTCCCTTCATTTGTCTTTTCGCGTCATCTTCGTAGCAAAAATAAACCGATTTGAGCGACAAGAGAGTCCCGGTGTGAATATAGTCTAAGAAATTGAAAAACTCAAGTTATTTGTCACTAAAGCAACACTTTATTTGTCGTTAACATCTTTAATAATCCCAAATTATATATGTATGTTTGCTTATATCATATATGTATGTATGTATGGAGGTAGGTACAGTCGTATAAATATTATATAAAATATGCATGTAGGGTTTCAATAAGCGTATAGGTATAATCACAAATATTTGTTAATTCTAGCTACAAATATGTATGTATATATATGTAAGTATGCCCGTAAGTGCATGTAAGTACGTGTGTGTAAGCGTTTCAGTCATCATAGCGCGAATGCATTATTAACTTTTGGTATAAAGCTCTCATTCTTCAGCACCGGCAAATGGTGTTGGAATTGTTTCAGCTGCTGTTTCGGCATGTGTTCGTTCAGTTGTGCTTTTTCACCCTGTTTCTGCATATGAGCCAAGAATGTTATCCAGAAAAGACTACAAAAACTAACAAATAAAATGCGATTAGGTTCGGGTATTAAGCCGAAGTTAATTGTCTGCAAAACTGGAATGATGAAAATGGCAATCTGAAAGCAGAATGTATTATTTTTTGTGTTGGAAATATTAAATGATTTCAGACATACGCGAAGGGTTTTTGGGAATTTATCTTTGACTTCTGCTTGAGCTGCTTCAATGCCTTTTCCTTCCAGCAAAGTCATGCCGAAGTAGAAGCTGGTGCTGGCGAATGGTGCGTACGAAGCTTGCTCAACGATGGCCTGTTGAACAAAATGGAAGCATGTTAATGATCGTGTGCTTAAAAAATCACCAGTGAAGGTAAATATAAAGCGAGATCTTATTTCCTTTTTTTTTCAGTAGGAAATTGTGATCCATAAAATTTTGATAACGTAAAAACTCCGCTTACCTTGAGCGCTCCAATACGTAAATTCGTTTGCGGCCACATTGCGGAGGCGACACGCAACCATCCATATAAAGTGGGCGCCACATAACAGCCTCCGAAAAGTCCAAAACGTAGTATGCGCATCCAATCATAATCCTCTATTTTGCCGAAAAGGAATAGAAAGTTATTGAATATAAATAGTATTTAAATGGAAAAAATCGATCAAAACTGACTCGGACTGATTTTCCAAAGGAATCACGGCTAAGTGCTTAGCTTAAGTTCATAAAATAGATGCTCGAAAATATAGCTGATGACATGACCAGTTGTGAGTTTTTAAGATCGACGTCGGAACTGTCCAACAATATAAAATGAGTCGAGGCTTATATCAAGTTTTTGTTAGTCCGGTTCAAATTTGATCAGAAGTGAAATACGTGTGGCGCTGTGAGTTTTGGAAAATGACGTCGGAACTGTCCAACAATATCAAAATGAGCCGAGGCTTATTTCAAGTATATCGTTTTATCAATTCGGTTCAAATTTGATCAGATCTTAAATATATCTTGCACCATACTTACTTAGCTGTTTGCCTTCGAGTGTTTGCTGCATGAAACTACTCGTCGGCCATACAATCGAATAAGCGATAACACCTTTGGCCAGGGGATGAGCAGAAGCGAACAGGCGCCATTTTGATTTCAAAAAATTAACAGTCATCGGTACAACCATTTCGATTTACACAAATTAGACACTAAATATTAAAAAAACAACAAATTTTATATACATACATACATGTTTATGGCTGCTGAAACACGAAAACGGAAACGGAAATTTGTTTGCGGAAACGTCAAAATGCACTATTTCGTTTTTTTTTTTTTGTAATAACTTTAAGGTCACCAAAACACAAAAACGACCAACAGTCATTAACCTCGAAAATTTGGCAAGAGAGAAACTTTTATTCGCTATTGCAGACATACATATATTTATATACTTGCAATATATACAATTATGTATGTATGTGTTTTATATTAATTTGAATGACGAACAGCTGTGCCGATTGTAGACTAGACGGTGCCGCTGTTAAAGAGATCGCTTCCCATTTGTATAGCTTGCACGTAGCGGGGGTGCATATACAGATGCATATGCGTATTTACATATGTACGTGTGTGCACCATTTACTTGTTTAATAAACAGCATATAACGAAAATTTGGATTTTCACCAATTTCTTTCATACAAGTTTTCAGAAAAATTGTAAAAAATACTTCGTAAAATTTGTTTATATTATATATACATACTTACTTAATTGTAGATATAATAATTTTTCATATGTGAATTTGCATTTCTTACATACATGTGTACATTAAATTATATTTTAAAAATTATTTCTATTAATATTTTTTGTCTCATAGCACTCTCCTAATTAATTTCCTTGATTTTCCGGTTATAATTTTTTTCCAAAAAAATTTCAAAAAATTTAAAAAAAAAATTTAAAAAAAATTTCAAAAT